TGGTAATGCACCATACTGTCTTTTGTTCCAGGGTATGTTGAGGAATGTATGAAAAGCACTCCAGTGAACTACTTCTGGTACAGGGAGACCCTTAATATAACCCCCAACATTGAAATCAATGGCACTTTACAGTGGTGGATGGTTTTGTGCCTGGCAACTGCATGGGGCATTGTTTACATCTGTTTTATCAGAGGCATTGAGACAATTGGAAAGGTGAAAGCTCTGTCCTGTCAATGTTTTGAAACGTACAAATCTATCACAAAGTCCTTTTAAATACAGAAAGGTTCTGTTTCATGATGATGATCTCATATAAAAAAGACCAATGATACTTAAAACTTGCATTTTAAATTGTCATTCCATTGTCCACATTCCCTCTGAAAAGTGCAAATAACAGGGGAATACTTTGTTGTTCCCAAATTCAGATAGGCACATTAATTGGACAATGGACTAGTGAACTATTTAAAATAACAGTTGCACTTTCATAATGCATTCCATCTAACTACTACAACTGTAACACCTGAAGACCTTATGCAGTTCCCATGAGTTTTAATGCTGATCATGTACTGTACAGTAGATCAATCTTCCTGCTTATACAGTATGTGTGATCAGTATTATAATTCCCAAGACAGTTATTTTACCTTTAAATCTTCATATTTAATTCTATAAATTAAAATGTAAACAGGATCGATACAAAATTCCAAACCTAAACAACCTGTCTTCTACTGTATATCTGTTTTTTAATTATTATTATTTTTTGCTTTCTGCAGGCTGTGTATATCACTGCAACTTTCCCCTACCTGGTTCTTACCATCTTCCTCATTCGAGCACTGACACTGCCCGGAGCAGTTGATGGACTTCTGTACCTTTTCACTCCAGAAGTGAGTACAGCACCTCACTCTGTAAAGTGAAATTACACTACCTCCAATACATTCCGACATTTTAACTGTAAAATGGAATACCTGTCCATTATTACCTGGAAGAAATTGCACAAAACGACATTTAGTTTCTAAGCTGTCTGCCCTTACCCCTCCCACAAAATATTGTTTCTTAGGCACATATTTTGAATTGTCATCTGAATGATGTGCGAGCAAGAATTCCTCAAAGCATTTGGTTAAAAGTACTCTTAATCAACCAGCATGTTGGTATTGAATTTTCAATTATAATACTTTCAGTGGGAGCTACTGAAAAACCCTGAAGTGTGGCTTGATGCTGCAACCCAGATTTTCTTCTCCTTGTCTTTGGCATTTGGAGGACTCATTGCCTTTTCCAGTTACAATCCTCAAAAGTAGGTTGAGCCAAGTTGTACACGTGATTTTTCCTCTTTTTAACCAAAAATGTGGGTTTGTTTCTTGAATAGGTTTAGTTTTAGACATTAATGAAAAATGTATTCTAAGTAAACAGAAGACATATTCTGTCAAAAAATTAAATTAAACTAAAGCCATGTACTGTAGTTATCTAACCATTAACAGACAAAGTAATAGTGTAGTATACTCTTCGGCAAACTTGATCTGAAAATATCTTTTTGAGTGTTCAGTGTGAGGCACACTAGGTTATTAACAAGTTATGGACAAAAAGAATGGGGTGTTAATTTGGGCTATTTATGGCTCAGAGAAATGTCCTAGTTGATCAAGAAATTTAGTTGCCATTTATGAAATGGGTTTGTAATTGAGACTGGAGGTGAATGTGATATTTTAATCTGACATGCATGTTGTGAACATATTTTAGAAATCTCAAGATGACTTTGCTTTGTATTTACCTTCAGAAAAATCCAATGTGTGCATTATTGTCAATGTTTGTGATTTTTTTCAGAAATAACTGTGAAAGAGATGCATTGATAGTTGGAATTATAAACAGTGCAACTTCGATCTATGCATCAATCCCTGTGTTTTCTATACTTGGATTCAAAGCAAACTCTAACTATAATAACTGCCTGGATAGGTACGTTGTTAATATTTTGAAATGGATTTTCTTATTATTGCTATTTTGTGATTTCAGAAACTTAAAAGGGTTGTGCCTTTCAGTTTTTCTAAAGAGGTGAAAAGTTAAAATCACAAACCTATTAAAATTACTTATCCACATCCTAAAAGATCCCCAAGCTAACATAAAGATGTTAATGGACATTGCAGTATAGCCTACCACATATCGTCGTTCTTATTTTGGTTTTTGGCCAATTTAAATACATTTCAGCATTTATAATCATAAATGCAGAAAAGGCTTTGAAGAAAAATCAGTTAAACCGATGTCTGAAGAAACTCTTCAACACACTGGAAACTAATGAATGTGATATTAAATGAATTTCTATTCACTGAATGAAGTGCATTATTTATAACTACTAACTAATTATAAAATATAGTTATAGTTATATGATTATGAAATAATTAAATGAAAGGGGTTAACAGAAATATTTCATTAATTGCAATTAATGAAATTAATTAATTGCAAGCCTTCTGAAAAAAACCTTAAGCACATAAACAAAAAACTACCATACTGTATGTACAAAACTATATGCTGTCAGTTTAAAGATATTCTACTCTTTTACTTTGCTTTCTTAATACTAATCTTTTGACAGGAATATCATGGCAATTACCAATGAATTTGATATTGGTGATCAAAATGTGACAAGGGAAAACTATAACAACTGGCTACAGCACCTAAATGCCACTTATCCAGAACAAATAGAAAACCTTCACTTGAAGGACTGCAACCTTCAAGAATTTCTTGATCAGGTATTTTTCTGTAAAAATCAGATTGCTTCTACAGTTGCTTTGGAAATCCTTGGGAAATCAAGATGCATCATTTAAATGTAATTAAATTAGTTGTCATTGTGTTCTTACAGTATTCTATAACCTATACATCTTTATATTCAAAACAGCAGCTTAACTAATGTACAGCAAAGTATACTAAATGCATTACTATGAAAAAAATATTATGTGAACCAATAATATGATTAAAAATAATTATTTGCATCTGTTAGTACTCTTCCTCTTAGATAATCTCAAAGTGTTTTATATGCAGTATAGGAAGGGAAGCCACTGCATCCATCACTGGAGTGGGAAATTACTTAAACAATTAAATTAAGGAGGTTCAGGATAAATTGAGGAGGTTAAATGGAGCAATTCAAGATATGAATTAAACCAGGACACTGATTAACATCTCTGCTCTTAAAACGAGCTCTATGTAATCTTTAATGACCATGTAGTCAGGTCTTGGTCTCATATAAAGGATGGCATAATGTTACTTGCTGCTATTGTATATAGCGGCATTATTTTATAAATTCTGGTCCAGAGGAAAGAGCACCACCTACAGCAGCAGCAACCTGGTTTTCCTTAAAGGGTTCCATGCCCAGTACATTTACAGTAGCTTCTACGATTTGATGAGATCAGGCTACCAACATGATAATGTTGCTGTCAAGGTTGCAAGACTTTAATATTGCTGTCTTGAGCTTGAACATTCCAAACTAACTCTGAAACCTCAAATGTTGAACTGCTACTTGATTCAGGAATATCTGTTTCAATAACAATAACAATAACAATAATCAATGCAGTTATATAGTATTTTTTTATCACAAAGCATCCCAAAGCAGTATACAGTACCTGAAACAGGAGACACACTTCACTTTCCAATGAAAAACAGCACTCAATGGGTGGTGCACAGTAGCCAATATAAGCTCCTACCTCACTACACAGCATGTAATATGGAGAAGTGAGAAAGTGCTTCACCAATTGAATTAAAAGGGACAGAATGTTCCACAGTACAATTTAGTTAAGAGCATGGGGCTTAATGTCCAGATACTTATGAACAGTGCAATGGAAGTTTTAATAATCAAGCAGTCAGGGCCTCCATTTACTGACTCAATTGACAGGACCTCCTTCAGCTCACTTTCTCCAGTTACCACAGTGGTGTGGGAGTGGAGAAGGAAGAGTGCCACCTATTATTGCACTAACCCCAATATGTTCTTTAGAGTACAAATGTTAGACTCACACAAATGCTCTGGCACTAAAATGAGGAGATGCCTGGTATAATTTCTGATGTGTTAATGGTTTGTGTACAGTAGATCTGTTCTGAGTGTGTCAGTCAGCTGCCGTACCGTGTTTTTCCACAACAGAGTGCATCAGGGACTGGCCTGGCTTTCATTGTCTTCACTGAGGCTGTGATAGAGATGCCTGGCTCACAGGTATGGGCTGTGCTATTTTTTGTGATGCTCTTCAGCCTGGGCCTTTCTTCAATGTTTGGAAACCTTGAAGGAGTCCTTACACCTCTCTTAGATCTTCATATGGTGCCAAAATGGATGCCCAAGGAGGTATTTACAGGTACAGTATCAAGACAATTTCTCCTAACAAACGTAACTTACCATGATTTCAAGGTCTTCAAACAAGTAGCAGATAACACGTTAAAAAATTCAATTTTAATTAACACATTTTAAAAAAGAGAAGCAATGCAACATCTTTTAGACCTTGACATATAACTTAATCCCACAAGGCAATTAGAAACTCAACTAAGCAGGTAATTTCCTTTGAAGGACAGAAAGCCTCAATTGGCTATTGTTTTATAACATTGATAAAGTTATGATTCAACTTATGATCTTATGAGATTGTTAGTTTCTTCTATATCATAAATGTATACAGAAATAAATGCTTCATAATACATGTTTAAACTGTAAACATTTATAATTGATACTCTATGGGCTCTTCAAGGTTAATTTTAATAATGTAAAGTTATTAATCCTTGGGATTAGCTTTAAGAAAGGGCATTAAAGAAGTCACAACTAATATTTTATATTATTATTTAGGCAAAATTACATAAAGGCAGGATATTTTGAAGAGCAAATCTGCCAGAATCCAAAATTCTTAATAAAAAGCATGATTTTGGAAGAGCGGGTCACATGAATTGCATAATTGATATCAAAGTAAATTTATGTGACATAAAACTGTGGTAGCTGCAATATTTAGTACCAAAGTGCATAATCATTATTATGCTAATTATTCTTGTTGAAAACACATTTTTGGTTATAATTGATATAAAACTTAAACGTTTTGAACTTGGTATGTTATTTCATTTTTTAGGGTTGATGTGCATGGTTTCGTTCCTAGTAGCCTTGATTTTTACCATGGGCTCTGGAAACTACTGGCTTGAGATTTTCAACACCTACGTAGGATCTTTGCCTCTACTAATAATTGCTTTCTTTGAGATAATCAGTGTGGTTTACATTTATGGTATAAACAGGTAAGATAGTCAGGTAAAACTGGCATTCATCTTAAAAAACCCTCCACTACCCTACCTATCTACAAAGTTAATTCTGAAATATAATGCATATCTGGGATCATTTAAGTCAACTTGATATTCATTTCTTTAATATGTTCGCTCAAAATTAAAAAATAATAAAATCAGTACAAGTCCTGTACACATACAATATTGTATTCTTACACATTTGCCTCCTGCTATGCTTTAAAAAGTCATGATACCTTCTGAAGCTTTCAAAGGCATTGTGTCATGAGAGGAAGCAAAAAAAAGTTTTAAAAGATTTACAATAACTTTACAAATTAATTCAGGTACAATTCATCCCCTCACACAAATCACAAATGTCAAAACCAGCATTATAAGACTGGTTTACATTGAATGAAAGGAAGAAACCCATAACAAAAATATACACTATGTTTTAAACATATGTTAATGTTTTCATACATCCAGTATATGACTCAAAACTGTATTCATATGTTATTCTGCCTGTACAGCAGTTAAAAATGTTAGTATTCACTGCTTCTTTACTGCTTCATCTTCCCAGATTCAGTGATGATATAGAATGGATGACAGGAAGGCGCCCTAATTTTTTCTGGCAGGCAACCTGGAGAGTTATCAGCCCTTTGATGCTGCTGGTTGTCTTTCTGGCATATGTAGTCGTGCAGGTTCAGCAATCCCCAGTTTACATGGCATGGAATCCTGACTATGTAAGTGCTTTGCTCAATGTTTGCAATACCTGAAACAACATTGATATTGTTCTACAATGAAACTACTGACAAAACTCAAAAATGCCTTTAATTAGCAGTGCGTTATTCCCATAGACTTAAATCAGCAGTAGTGGCAGGCCCCTGTCAGGAAAACAACATTTTAACTTAATGTAGAAAAACAACATTTTCACTTTGAAATTCCAAAGAGACTGTTAAGGCTATTTTTGTGCAGGAGCTTAGTTATATGTAGTCTCGCCAGTACAATACTAATTACTCAAAGCTAAAATGTTTTTTTTAAACAAAACAAACACAAATTCAGCCTGGCCTATTTAAAAACAATAATGTATGATTAATTTAGTTGGCATCAAATGTATAAAAACCTTATTATATTATGGAACAAGTAATAGGTTTATTCCATGCTGAAAAGAGAAGAAAGAAAACACATTTCTGCTGTGGAAACAAACCTCAGATAAACCTTTGGTGGATATTTAAACTAAGGAGCTGCCTAAAGAGTTTGGAAATTTTATTGTTTTAAATCTTGAACCATGACAGAAATGATTATTCAGATTTCTTCTCTATTTTTCTGACTGTCTTCAATTTTCTTTCCAGATAAACTTCCCCATGTATGAAGAACTGCCATACCCAAGCTGGGTGTTTGCAATATGTGTTTTATTGTCAACGGTGCCCTGCATTTTCATTCCTCTTGTAGCACTTTATAGATTTGTTCAGTTTCTACGAAGATACATAGCTGCCAAACGGAACCCCAATCCGTATGAGAACGATGCTTATGTAGTAGAGTGTCAGTGAAGATTTCAGCTGTACAAGCTGGTATTTATGAATATTTTAGTTCTTATATTTCAGTAGATCAACTATGTCCAAAGACTGTTCATCCCCAAAAGGGAAAGAAATTGAACTGGCAATTTTGCCTTTTCCCTTTACAGTCACTTAAAAGTACTGTACAGTAAAATACCAAATACCAGATATCACCTGAAACGCATGAAAAGTTTTGTAGCCTCACTTAATACAAAAATATCATTTAAATGATTGTTTTTTAAACATTCAAATTCAAGAAATAGTTCTGAACCCTAAGATGTTTTCAGTTTTCTTATTTCATTATGCAAGAGACGTCACAAAACATAATCAAATACATAAGGAAAAAATATCTGGAGATGTCTTGCTCTATGGCACAATTTTCCCTTTGTTTTAGTCTCACTGGATGCATTGTCTAACAAGAAGGTAGCCAGGAGCGTCATTCCTTCTATTGGCTCTCGTTCATTTTTTTGTGTATGACTTGTTTGCAGGGCAGCAGAATTAACTACCCAGAATGATATACCACTGTCCTTGTCTGAGGAAAATGCATGGCAGAGGAAAATATCTCAATATAAATGAAGATAAATGAGAACTGTTGAAATAAGATTAAACTGTGAGCCCATGAATCAAATATTTTAAAAGAAAGCACCATCAATTAATTTAATTAACGCATTATTTCTCACTTTTGAGTCTCCTTTCCTTTTTCTGTGTTTGATATAAGAAAAGTAATGTGTTTCAGTTCTGCACATTCTAAATTAATCATTGTTCATTAAAACTCATATGTTTTGTGACTATCAGATCACCTACCAGAAGGAATGCCTGCATCTATTTAGACGCATCAAACAATCAAGATAGAGTAAGGAAACAAAAAGTCAGAAAAATAGTAAAGGTGATCATGGCATGGTTTTGAAGTACTGTACGTTGTTAAAAAGGTGAAGGTAAAGTCCAAAACAATTACAATTACAGGAAAGCTGACTATAAAACAATATAGCACAGCTTCAGGCAGCTAGATAAATATGAAGTCATCACAAAATAGGTGAAGATAATTAGATGATACTCTGGCTGAAGCAAAGAATCATTCACAGATTATGTAAATCAAAGGCTAAAAAACTGTAGCAAAACAGTTCAGTAAATCAATTTTAAAAAAACTATAAGAATTCTAGCACTTTATATAATAATTGAAAAAAGCATAGGTCTGAGATAAAGAAATGAAATGCAAGGTGAAAGAGAGGGTTAGAAAGACCAAACGTCTGGTAGAAAACAATATTGCAAGGGGATATTATCAGAGATAAAAATGGGAAGCTTTCAGATGAAAGGAACATGCCTAATGTAATAAATGAATATTTCACTCAGGTGTTAAGTATGGAAGAAATTGAATGCAGGCTTTATTAAATAGTATTATAATAGAAGGGGCATAAGTGTTAAAAGCATTAAAAACACTTACAATAAAGATATTTCCAAGTGCTGGTGATACTTTACCAACTGTACTTAGAGAAACAATATATGTATTTCACTCACCACTAACAAAACTGTTACTATACTGTACTTTCTCAGAACAGAGATCATACCCATGGACTTTAAAACTGCTAATGTGACAAAACTGAACCAAGTAAATACAGACCCATAAATCTTATTTACATGTAAGATTATGGAAACCATGATCAAAGTTAATAAATAGAACATAGCCTATGACATAATATATTTTGATATTGGACAACTGATTATCTTAAAAGTTTGAGAAGAGGATAGATACCACCAATGACCAGAGCAGTAGTGAGATACATTCCAAGGCTTAGAATAATAATATCGGAGTCTGACAAGCAAAAAGAACAATTTTCTTAGTCTTGAACAGAAAAGACAGCAATGAGACTCAATAGGAATGCACAATAGGAAAGAGAACCTACTGTAATACACATCTTCAACATCAACAGTGAAACACAAATAACACACTACAGCAGTGGAAACTGTTTGGAAGTTTGGAGGCACTTTTTACATAAACGTTTTAGGGTGTCTGAAACAAGCTACCAGCCTGGTTACTTTAAGCTGATACCCTAGTTTCTTTCAAGAACTTACTGGACAGAATCCTCAGATTTAGCACTTGGCCATTAGCAACTATTAGCTACTTTGTAATATTTTCTTACTTTGTAAGACCTGTGTGCTCCTACCTGTTTTTTTATAACAATTGTTTCCTTGATTAAGTCTGATTATCGCCTGATTCCCCATTTATGTTATTTCCATAGGCAAGCTGTACTTACTGTACATTGGCAAGATTAGCTAGTTTCTAATTGCATAGTTGTTTACGGATCGTCATAATGATTACAAAATGGTAAAAACAGTGACAGTGTATGTTTACATATTGTTTTTCTTTAGAAATGTACAGTATTTAGTTACTCACTTCCTTTCAGCTGCTCATGTTTACCTTGCACTTATTTATCTTCTACCGCTCATAGAAAGGAACTGCATTGTATTCACCAGTAAAAACCAACATGAAATCAATGTGGCTTGAGTGTCAAGCTGGTACGATTTGTACATTTGCAGTAATGTAATCATCCAATTGGTAATAAGGTAAATAAATGCAGGACTTTCCCATGTGAGATCCCATTGTTTGTGAAGCAGGTGTGTGCACATTAAACTCTGATAAGTTCAAAGCTTTCAGTATATTAGATGTGTGAAAAACAACACATTTTACCCTAATTATGGTCTAATGTAATACAGTGAAAAAAATCTTTTTAGCACAGTTATGAATAATTTATAGACTATTTCAGTCTTCTGTGTAGAACTGCCTACAGTATCAATGTTGCATCACAGATTCAGATTTCCAGACAATTTATTAACTGCTGATAAACACCCAAACTTTGTATAATGGATGTGTGGCATTTTGGATTAGTTTTTTTGTTTTTCCTGAGAGCCTCCTGTGTAATTTGTGTAACACCTAAACCACAGGATTCTGTTTTTAAATTAACCTTACATTACTAATGCTTTGTGCATGAACATATTGCCTGGGGGGATATACTTTGGTGAAAAGAACAATTTGAACTTAAGTTCATAACAACTGTGTAAATAAACATTATACCGCATTTTTTGTTTAGTGTCAGCTTTGTGTTGAAAATTGATTAAAAGTAATAAAAGTAAATAAGATTCCCATGCTTGAACTCAACTGCTAAGTAGCTACAGTATGTGGCAGCTTCATGACCATGCATGTAAATTATTCAGTGATGGATTACCAAAGAAATTCTCTCCCTGACTAGGAACATGATGACTGTTTTTTCTTCATTTTGGTGAGTCTGTCACTTGAGCAACTGTCTTCCAACGTGCAAGATAAACAGGAAAAGACCAGTCACATACCACTTATAATTAGTGTCAGAGGTGTGAAGCATCTTCCAGTTAATACAGTACATCCATCCATCTTCTTACTTGTTTACCCAATACAAGGTCATGGGGAAGCTGGAATCTACCCCAGCCATCAACTGGGCAGATTCCAACATGCACACACTCACACCAGGGGAATGTTTCCCCAAAACCAATTAATCTACCCATTAGCCCACGAACTGGAGCACCCAGAAGTAATCCACATGAACACAGGAAGTATATACAGTACATACTCCATGCACAGAGCATAAACAGTAAAAACATTTTATCTCAACCTTTACATACTTTGAAAAGAATGTACCTAATCTAAGACTGATATAAATCTTTATTGGGTTTGTAAAGTGCTTTTTATATTACATCTACTGTATACCTAATGTAAGATGGTTAAATGACTACACATTTTTTCCAGTTTTGCATATTTTCAACCTGTCACGTTCAACCTTTAGCATAAGCATGGAAAATCCCTTCTGGAATAGTTATGGCAACACATGAAAATGTTCATCATCCAAAATCAGTAACACAAAAAGTCATAAACTATAAAAGGCACTGTAGCACTCTGCTGCACAGACATGAGATACAGTATATCATACAGTAATGACAGTTGTTTCATATTTCAAAAAATAAAAATTCTGGTATTTAAAAGAATTATTCTGACTTTCTCTTCTAATCTAGCTAAAGACAAGCTCAGAGCTAGTTTTAACCATAAAACATTTACCAGCAAATCTAAGCTAGCAAATCTTAATGGATTTCCCTATAAACCTCAAAAAGCAAGCAAAATTGAAACATACTGTAAAAGGTTTAACTAAGTGTCTCTTTACAATAAGAAAATCCTTAAACCCACAGTGTTTAAACCTTTGCATCATAGTTCCTTTACAATGATATACTGTTCCAAAACACTCCTACTTAAATCTAATCTTTGTGTACATATATTAAAACGGCAAGCAATGTGGTGTTTCCACGAAAATTAAGTGACCTGTCTAAAAAAAAGTAGTCTATCAAAGTGCAATTACGTGAATCAACTGAGAAAGTCATAACACTAAACATTGACTGTAAAGTTACAGTACTTCATGGCTATCATTGATTACAGATACAGTATGGGACTGTGACATTCATGAGTGAGTTAAACCCTTTTAAGATGCTTTTCAGTTCAAATCATTCAGTGAAAATAATCAATAAAACAGTTAAAGAATGAAATTACTGGATAATTACAAAGCATCCAAAAAGGTTAAGATTAAGTTCATTTGGTAAAGCATGACAAAATAAAATTTAACAATAATGCACTGATATCTGTTCTTTCTAGTAGCCAAAATTGGGCTATCACAACCCTGTTTAGCTGAATCACAAATTCACTATCACCACAAAGATTAAAGTCTCTTTTAATCCATGTTGTCAACTGATTATCAAGGCCAATAGCATTAGCCTCTCTGTGATGGAGATGTCCTTCCCTTTTTTGAAGACATGAATGTACCCTGGCGCAATGGGTCACAGTTAATTTAACATATCACTTGTCTGCAGGGATGACTTGCATCTATGAGGAGGCATCTACTGTATGTCAGGAAACCAGGATTGCATCTAAGAGGAGGCATCTATGTCAGGAAACCAGGATTGTCTTAACCCAGAATTCAATGTCAAGTACAAAGTGATATTTATTATCAAAGAGGTCACATAGCCAGGATTTGAGTGCATGTTTCCAGAATCTGTCAGATATGCAAAAAGTGGATACAGGGGGTAGCAACTGGCTCAATTCATAGCAGTTTATGACAAAAGAGCTTGGAGAACCTTTTAAAGCCTTTTGTAAAGTATGCTAGTGCATAATGGACACTGATGGTAGATGCAATCAGGAAAAACATTAAAGGACTGTGTTGAGTTACAGTATAAGTATAATTTTAGCAGTGAGACAATAAGTTATACTGTATCACAATTGCTGTTTTCATACGCTTAGCTTTGAGAATCCAATACAAATTGCTTTGATCACATATTGCACCACTTGTTTGTATGCAGAGAAAACAATATTAAATCCTCCCCGTTCAAAAGGATAATAGAGAAAAGTACTGTAATCTGTTTCTAGTGTTCTTGCTTGGTTGATGTAAAAGGAAGGTAATTTTAGACTTGCACTTAAAAAAAAAATAAACAAGCTTGATCCTTAGAACTAGACCTGTCTTTCATCAGCACACTTCATAAAATAACACCCGGTAGGAAAGCAACATTAATAAATAAACCAGTGCTTCTCATGTTATGTCCTGCCAGTCAAAAGAGTGCTTAGGAGACCCACGAAGCACCCCCTCAGTTTCCACCATATAATGTGTTCACTATGTACTGTATTTCATCTATTTTTATTTATATTCCTTGTTTTAAAAAAATCTGTACTGGCTGTGGTCATTTAACATCAGTTAATACGCCTACTACTGTATATGCTTGTTAAGCTTGAACCACAACTCCGCATTAACTGAACCTCAGCTTTTGCTGTTCATCAGAGTTGTGTCAATAGCCAGATTACATTGTACAGCGGTGATAAATCTACGGGCTAGTGCTGTAAAAACAAGAGCAATTATCTTGTAAAAGTAAAATGCAAGTACATTTAAATGAAAACAAGAAATGTCTGTAACGGTCAATATTTCATATATTCTAGGAATTCAGAGAATTCTATTCCTTTCCTACTTCTTATTTCATTGTATCTAAAGTATCTTAGATCAGCCATGCATGCATATACTGCATGTGCTTTTTAAAATATTTCACTGTGTTTAAACCCCTGTTGTTGATTGGGGCTGATCCTTCATGTTCACCATATTGTGTAGTTTTTACCCAATCTTATTACACCTTAAGGGTCACCAGAATGTGGGATTTAGTATGTGTTTTTCTATATACGTTTCCATGCGTTTTTAATAAAAAATGTTGATTACAAAAAGGTGCAAGAAAAACCAGAGTGAGGAGAAACAAAAGCACAGGATTCTTAGAATCTTTGGCAGCACTGTGTCACCTGGCTCCCTGTGGGTTAGGGAGACAAAATACTTTTGTAAAATATCCAGACCGCAGTAGAAGGAACAACATGTTGTTATAGTTCTTGGAAACCGGTATTAAAGTTTCTTTTAGAATCTATACACAATGGTCAACACCTACTGTAGCTACGGTAAATATTTGAAGTTCCTGGAGCTTCAAAGCAGGGAAAGAACTACTATATACTGTTTACTTAGTTGTGCTAGGCGTGAGACATACTGATCAAGGAGATATCTGCTTAAGCTTGGTTAATTAAGCTCTGGGTAAATAATTAAGTGTCAATCAACAGTCCAGGAACGCAGCAGAAAACAGATGAGTACAGAGAGAGGAGAGGACATGGGAAAAGACAAAAAGATACAGAGGAGAGACGAGAGGAGTAAAGAGAGAAAGTGCCAGGAAATAACTCCTTATCCAGATCATCCATAAAAACCAGACTGGAGTTAAGTATTTGAACCATGTTAAGAGAGTTTACTATTTAGAATTCTCCAGTTAAAAATGGCCTCTCCTGGTTGGTGGATGCATTTTTAGAATAGGGAAAATTATTTGTATGTTTACTGTTAACTTTGTAGCATCCCATTTTACAGAGAGAGAGTTTTAACTGTTGTTGGTACTCTATTGATATAGATCCTCTTGGATATACAATATTCTTGGTCATTTTCTGAAATTCACTATTTAACCCCCACTTGTAACAATATCTTCCTGTTGAAGCAGGAGATAGTAGCAGAACATGCTACACAGAGGAACTGGACTATCTCCTACTACTGCTCTCAATACAGCACAGTGAAATACTGGATTCCACCCAGAACACCACACTCCTACAGCCACACAACATTGAAGAGTGAAATGTCTCCCACCATCATTGGCTGGTATGCCATTATCCTGCTGTTCCTCACAGCATGTATTGCTAAAAGACACAATTAACCTTAGATTATTTTATATTAAATTAATTTTATATTAATAATTAAAATGTTAATGAAATAAAAATATAATCACAACTTTAATACTTGTCTGTGTAATGTAGCAAAATGACACAAAATGTCACATACAGACACATTAAATAAAAACTCAGATGGGATTTTATAAATCACCAAAGATGCTGTGTCCTACTAGTATAAAGCAACTCATGAAGTTAATTACCTTCACTACAAAACTGCTATAAAGCTGAGCAGAAGAAATGATACTAAGGGTGAGCCCAAGAAAAATCAAACCAATACAACATCAAAACTGTAAGTGGAACACATCTGTCTCGCACTACACTCTACATGATAATGTTATGGAAAAACAAAACATTCAACAAGATGTCATCTACATTGCACAGTGTGAATTCAGGGCCCAAAAGACCAAACCTCTTAAAACTGCTACATCAGTTTTGAAGGTTGAGTCTCTCCCAGTACAGTATGCAGGGCCATACCAGACCTGGAACTCTTAATCCGCTGAAGTACAGATACGGTTATCAGGAAAGTTCTTACAAAACCTTTAAAAGACTATACAGAAAAGAGCTGAGCCAACTAAAGATAAGTTAAGCAGTGGGAAATAAGAATATATTTTTTTCTAAAAATAGCACAGAATCAGAAGGTTGTCACGAGCAATTGGAATGAAATGAGTAACAAATGTTGAATCCTAATCAAACAAACATGGAGTTCAAGTCTAAATTCCATTACAAGCTCTTCATTGTCAAAGAAGGCACATTAACATTTCAACTCTTGCTACCTGAAGGCCCATTTGCTATTAAACAATAGCTACCAAGCCAGAGAAAAAACTTTTAGCCTTGCCAGGCGAAATTAATTGCAACGTGCTGTACAGTTTTAATAACTGCCTTCAACAAAAGTAGCAAGTTCTGAGTTAGAATGTTGGCTTGGTTTTATGTTGAACATTAAAGACTTGAAAATTTAGTTATGGAAAATTTACACATTTCACATTTGAAAGAAAACATTGGCAGCTGTCTGAAATAACTGGATTTCTCCGCTTCTGTAGAAGTCTACCTGCAGAAGACAATTAATTTCAAAACTGTAGTTGCAATGTGAAAAAAGTATATTTTCATCTTTTCTCTTGTCTTCAGCCACACTGCCCGAACCGTGTGGTGTTCACAATTATGACTGGACGTCTGCCAGACTTTTAAAGTTACACAATTTGAGATTATGCACTTTTAGGTCTTACATATGAATTAATGACATTCAGACACATTTGGAAATGTTTTTTGTTTAGAAAAGTTTTTTAACTTAACTGGTTTTCTGTAAGCCAAGGGACAGATGTACATTAACAGTGTAATGTAACCTCAGAAACAAAAAACTGAAGCATGAAAGGAAGTTCAAGACGCTCAAAAATGAGTAGCAAATTCACCCGATAGCACATTGTTTTTTTTTAAGCGTGATACACCAAACCACAGACACTGCTTTTTAAAGTCTGCATTTTAATTGGAAATGTAAAGCACCTAAACTCTTTAAAGTGCTAATAGTCCATGTGCATTAAAATGGTAAATACTGTTCAAATAACACTTTTTTTATACAAATGTAGTACAGTATGTATTATACAATTTAAGTCACATTTTTTGCGAGTCAGCTAATCCACCATTTTTTTTAAACTCAGCAGTTAAGGTTTTATTTTCTTATTAAGGTTTTAAACCTTGAAAATGTCTGAATATTAAATGTTCATAGAACAGAACTAAAATACACATCCCAGGCAGAATAAGGAATGTATAAAGCTGAAGACACAAAACAAAGCAAGTATTTTGCCCCTCACAAAGGAGGACAGAAAAATTGTCACAGCTGTTTCTCCACAGAGGGAAAGACACATTCCACATTAGGCTGGCTTGGAAAAACAACAACAATAATTTGTGGTGCTGGAGGAGGTATGTTTTAGAAAAAGGGTAGAACATTAGCTTTTCTGTACTATAAACAATTAATAGTACCAATGTACAATCTACAGCTTAAAGTCTCTTAAAAAATGGTTTTCCTATGCTGTAACAGCATTTCAAACCTAATATGAACACGTCTTTACAGTAGCCTACTATGTGTGCTAAGACATATGAAAGCTTCACTTTATATAATTTGTTTTTGTAATATAAACCCTGACATCAAACCATTCTCAGATTTCTCCAAGACTCTTAAGTTTTCAAGTGTCCAGAACATGCTGGACACCAGCAGAAACTTGCAGGTGTGTACCTTGTACTACAAGTGTCGATGGAGACCAGTCAGTTATACTGTAGGATTTCTTCTAGGCTGAACACACTGTTTCTAACTTGTCATGGCTGTGAAGTCCTGAGGCAATGGAGGATCAGTCACATGCCTGATTAGGCACAAAGTGTCCATTGGGAGCTTTCTCTCGAGTCGCCTCTTACCTACAGAGAGAGATATCAATGATGAATGTACTGGTGAAATCCAGCAACTGTACTCAACAGTGTAATGAAACAAACAAAAATAAATAAATAAAAACATAAGGATATTTCCAAATGAGAGGAGGGCATTCAGCTTGCGTATAGCTTAGTGCACATACAGTACAGTACATGGACGTTTGAAATTGAGCGAGAAGCTATGGGCTCTCAGTCTTTGCCTTCCTATATTACTAGGAAATATAGCTTCCTGATAATGGATGTTTCAAGTTTTTTGATCGTGTTGGACAAAGCAGAATGAAAAAACTAAACTGTAGGGGAAATGTTTCTTTTTAAACTTCATATAAACTGTACAAGCTGTTCAGTCTGTGATAGAAATAGCAGTTAACTCTACTATGTCACAGTTCCAGAGTCCTGGTTTCAGTTTCAACTTGGGGCACCTTGATGTCTAGAGTTTGCGTGTTCTTTTCACACTCTTTTTTTTCTAGGTACTTATGTTTCCTCACATCTCCCAAACGCACAAATGCAACTCCAACTTTCTGGTTGGCAGGTTTTCAAGGGGATTTCATATGTGTAGTGTTTATATCATTAGTCAGTACATGCTATACGACTACAGAGAAATAAAACGAAATGAACACGATAGGCAGAATGTTCCCCTCTTGCATGTTGCCGTTCTGATGCTAATATAAATGCTATCCTGAAATTGCAGGGGTCATAATCAATATCTAAAAGTAAGGAATAAAATCATGATCTTACTAAAAAACAAAGTCAATTAAACACAGCACAGATGTCTGTTAGGATAAAATATGACAGTGCATACTAATGTAACATCAGAATGGGACAGGTTAATGTTATTCTTAAGTACTTGGAAAAACATTGACAGACGTCTTACATTGGCATTCAGAACTGTTAATATTTTTATGTGTTCAGGCAATTCCTCATTTAAAACTGAGTATCAGTGATTTCAAGTGCTAATTTTCAAGCCATGTTATTCCTTACAGTTTACTGAGCCAACTGTGTGCTCGCACTGGGAGAATCCTGGTCACAGTCAGCTAATGACAGGACCATGGTTCAAAACTGCAACACTACGTCTGGATCATAGAATTGTACCTAGAGGACACCTTTACCGCTTATGCCTCTTATGATCCCTAGATATTTCCTTTTTAAAGATGTGAATCTCTGGCTAAAAGGTATCCACTTACCATCCAACATTGCCACTTTATAATGTGACCATGTCCCACTGGAAATGTGATCTCTCTTTCAACATACTGTAGGTGCTGGGTTAGAATACATATCAGTTAAGGATTTTAGATACAGAAATTACACCAGGATTAAAGTTACTACTAGGTTTCCAGGCGTGAAAACCTTGGCTGAATTTGACACCTGTTATGCAAGGATCGTAATTGTTACAAGTGCTTTTTGCTGTAATTAGCAAATAAGTGAGAGCTGCTGCTCTGGTTACTTGTGCAGATACCTACATGTCTTTAGGTTTCCAAGAAGGCATTTGTAAGTGCATCTGTGTGTTGACAGCTTCACAAGAAAAGCACTGTAGCACAGCAGCTGCACGGCTTCAAAAGGCAGGAGGCCGGATGCATTTTTCATACCAAACTGGGTTTCTGTTAAAAAAAAGCAAAAACACATTTCTACCAAATTTTCTTTTAGTACTTTTGTAACTTTCCACTATAAACCTATACATGGATGTGCCTAACCATGCACAATAATGATCTACAATGCCACCAAGTGGCAGAGAACTTTATAATGTAGTTCCTAGAATTATTAACTATGAGGAGCTAAAGTGCATTACCCAGATTTCAGTACCACATTATACTACGGATTTTAGAATGAAACATGACACAAACATTTTGGAAAGGCTGGCACAAAAGTACAGAAGGAAAATACCTGCATGGGAACACAGGAATGATATTCACCTTTGTTCCTTTGTCTTATAATTGAGTAGCTATAAGCTGCCATTTCGGAGATGACTGTCAAGAAGAAAGTGGGATTGTTGTGGACCTTCTGTCCGAATGGCAGGTTTATCACACAGGCATGGAACCTATCAAAACAGTATCTGTGTTAGTCAAGCACAAAAAAGAAATCACAATTAATCACCATTACTTTCATTCTTCATTGCACTGCTTACATTACGGAATTTTAAAGTGAATTTCTAAAATGCTTCAGTAAAGAGAAACACTAGTCTGATTTCTATACAATCCTAACAGCTAAAGGAGCTATGAAGGACCTCTAAAATGGTCAATTTATTCCCACTTTATTATCGTAAGGATTTTTTAAAATTCATTATATCAGTTCTTGAATGGATACTGTGAACTGCATTGCAATTATTTTTCCTAGACTGAACCAAGAGAAAACACTACAAGTCAGTCACAAATCTCAAATATGCTTATAAGAACTGAAAATATTTGAAATGATCAATGCCATTATTTTATAAGGTTATAATTGGAAGAAAACCAAGTAGGATATTGTGAAAGGTCTCGAAAGTCAAAACAAAGCAGTGTTCAATGATATTAAAACAACATAATGGGGAAGATTAAAAGATATGTTTACGTGTCTTTTGTCCTTCGTCACAAAAATGTAAGAACAGGCGGTGAAAGCTTAAAAACACACTGCACTTCTTATGGTTGTTACTGATCCACCAATGGCTTCTGACTCTGTAAATTCTTTTCTTCCTCGATTTCATGCTTAATGTCTTACTCACTGTTTTTTAAGATGCTAGAAAAGATGACAGAAAAAACTGCTTAAAGCATATTGCAAATGCATTCCCCAGGAGGTTCCACATGACCCCAAGCCATGGAAGAGCCTCGTTTTTTTCGGCATGCTGAATTTACACTTGCTGTAGCTTGGTACAAGACACCAAGCCAGATTCATTAAATCTGTTTTTCCATCTCATGAAAGTGAAGAGCATTTTGTGCATGTGCATCACAAAGACACACTGTACACAATTTAGTCTGCATTTTGTAAATACTTTAAATTAATTAAATGTTATTTTAGAACCGCTGTGTATTCTGTGTATAAAATGAACCGTAATCCTGAATTATAAAGGGAAACAAACAAAGCTTCACTTTTCACAAATACACTTCATCATGATACATTTTGACAGGCAAACCTACATGTATAGTATGATCTTTATGGAAAACTCTAATGTGAAAAAAAATCAATCCATATCAAGTGCAGCTATTAGGTTACAATATAGCAACTCTACTGTTTGTTCCAAAACACCTCAGTAATGAAACTGTACAGCTCAAAAATAAGTCTCCTCAGTACAACCTCGTGAATCATATAAAGAAGTCAGCTTGCAATATATATTTCTATACACCTATTGCCCTAGTTTGTTATGGACGTTTATCCCATACAGGGTGGGAGTCACATGGTCTCTCATCCACTTCACTGTACAGAAACCAGAATGAACTCTGCCCAGTGAGCTGCTGTGGTTCTCCCATGGACATCACCATTACCTATCCCCCTAGTTAAGAGTACAGTAGCTACTGTACATGCAGTATTTAACAATGATGAACCGGGGACCTGTGACTAAACTCATGAATGTTGAATAATTCCAGCTAGTGATCCGAGACCACATTTGACATATTAGCCCAGTTGTATTTCACCACAGAACTTTTTAGTGTATCCACAGATGCCTGGATACTAAAAACATCAGTACAAAGAATGTTATGTATGAAAAGGACCATTGTGTGACTCAGATAGGTGATATGGAATAACAAAACACAGACTGGGAAATTACCAAGAACTTCTGGAGTACACAGTACTTAAACAATGACCCTGATTTGTTCTGAACTTTTGGTTGTTTTTTTTTCACCAAGTTTCCCATTAAACAGCTAAAGTCGCAAATAACACACTCACATCAGTGTACAAGTGTACAGTATAGTCCATATACAAGTGTAAGATTTTATGACTTGGGTCATACTCTATTGCTTCACCATTCAGAACAGTAAAGTATAATGTTCCTCCTTGAGATCTCCTGCTGTTTTTTCATGATACTTTTATCAAGCAGTTACATAAAATGCTGACAGGCATTCCCTCTAAAGTCTGTGTCAGTTCAGCTGATAAAGCTGAGTATGTTATTTAAATGGTCTCTTTATACTGTTTGTCCTTGGAGACTACTTGAATCATTAACTTAAGACTTGCAAGAAACCTCATGGGTCTACAAAAGCCTACTTGTTAAACATCAATCTCAGTTTAATCAATATTTCCCTTCCATACTATTTTCTAACTACTGAGGTTAAAGTCCACAGTACATTGGCACTTGATGGCTTTCTTGTAGGTAATAACCATTTTACTGTCAAATGAACATACAGTACACCAGGAAATCAAAAGCCTTTACTCTAGAAATCATCAGTCATTTTGCAGTAATCTTTTGAAGTTGCATTTATAATCCTTAACCCTTAGATTACAATATATTCCAATTAGTATCAACACTATGCTTACTTTACACACTGTCTTAGTGAAAAGGTTATTTTTGTACAGAATAACATAACATTTCATACTTCACTTAAGACATCTGTAAATATTCTGGAAAGGCAGTAAAATAGGAATACACAATCCTACTTACAATTACTGATTTGTCATTAATTCCTAGCAGTTTCAAAGGCAGACTGCATTAAGTTATGCATAGCAGAAGATTTGGGTGTTGTTTTCATTACATATCACATCCAGTATGCATTTTAGGGAAACAAAAACAGTGAAATTAAATATCTCCTACCTGTATGCTTGAAGAAGGAGTATTTTGTAAATGTTGAGGTACACTGCCTGTTGACTGTTGATCTGTAGTGAAAGACATACAGTACAACTGAGGGGAAAAGAATAACACAGGTAACAGGTATGCTACCTTAAAGCCAAAGTAGAAGAATACTATAAAATACGATGTACGTTTTCTGTCCTTTATACACCAAAACTAGAACTAATTCTTAAAAGTCTGACAATATATTAAATACATGCAGGTTATATAAATGGAAGGACTACTAAATCATATACACATTTAATATGCCTCCTACCCCAATTAGCTATGTTTGTAAGAATTAGCATATTTCAATAATCCTTTGAAACTTTTCATCATTCCACATGTCCATTAAGCATTTTCTAGAACTGAAGTTGTGGGGCTTCGAACAGAAGAATTTGATTAAAAAAATTGTGCAATACCCACAATAATAATACTGTTTCTATGAAGAGTGTGAGCTTCCATAATTTTGAATAAATCCAAGAGAAATTAAATTGCCTGAACAGTAAATTGAACATAAATTTTACCGATGGTTTACAGATGCCTAACAGAAACCTTCAGGGAGAGACAACCTTTGCAATGTAGCAAATAGCATATTTCTTCGTCATTTATAATGATAATTTTTAATAAAATGTACGTAAAAAGAAATTTGCTTCTAGACGACCTGAGAAAATTCTGTGCTATATTATCTTTTTTATTAAAGGATTTCTATACTGTAGTTATACCTTGCAGAATCTAAAGCTGAATATGTTGGATAGAGGAAAACTTCAAATAGAAAAAGGAACTTCACATGGTTTTGGGATTTCATTTTCAATAATGGAAAAAGCAATGATTTTGAAGACGGGTTATGACAGAATGGTCTTATTTATTTTGACTTATCCGAGAAATTGAATCAGAGATGTATGCGTACACTTCTGTCAGTATCACAAATGGGCGAATTTAAAACAAGAGAGCCATGAAAACCAGTATTCCATTATCTTTTTTTTTTTAAATCATACCTTCAAGTCGAGGAAGATGGCATGACACTTGAGTTTCAGAACTGACAAAAGTTTCTTCCTCATGTGCTGCCCAGGCTGAGATGTTGAACCAAGGGTCAAACTGTAGCGAATGGACACTCCAGCATAACTAATAGATGAAAAAATACCAAAGAATAATATTTTAGTTGTATAATTTCTCCAGTATGAAGTCTTACTCTTTGTGGACGAGTGATTGAATTACTCAAAAAGGTGACATATGCTTAATAATTATCTGGATACCAAAGCATTCCTAATAGATAAGCCTCTCTATTACGCAAAAGGAACTAATATGTCTTAGATCAGATGACCTAATGTTCTGTTGTATACAAACTGCTGATCCAATCCATTTTCTATGCTGTGGATTCCCATAGGGAAAGTAAAGATCATGGTAACAGGACTGAAATTAACATAGAACCTAACACCTGAGCAACTTCAGTCAAGCATAAAGGGAATAATGACCTAGTCTGAGGTCAGTGAATAAGTTACTAATGAACATACTGTTCTATTCATAAACCAAAGTGTGAAGATGGTTACAAAATGTTATCCATGTGTTCAGAGGTATTTATGAATGATAATGAAATCTTATCCAGAATCAAAAACAAAAGACAACCTTCAGGATATCTACAGTGTTAACCATATAAATTGGGTACAAACTACTGTAGCATCTGTAAGAATTTAGTGATCTTTATGAAAATGCACCTGACACATTTCTCAAAGAAAAGTAATGTGGTATGTCAGACATAAAAGTGTTTGATTTCTGCATGTGACAAAGTGACAAATGGCCATCCCTTAAAGAGTATGTAGTTAATATTGAGTCAAATTAATAGCACTCGAGGAAAAAATAAAAATAAATCACCAACTCCTACACATCAGCAGAAACAAAGTAATTAAATCCAAGCAATAGTGTCAGGATTTATATAAGAAAACAGTGTAAATTTAACTTTAATATCCAGGCAAAAACAAATCCCTACTTCACAGAAAGTATAAAGTAGTCAGTTTATGCAATTCAACATTATTGGTTTGCCAAAGAGAGGAGGTTGCAAAAAATACTGTACCATTGCCTTTAAATAACAAACCTTCCCTTTGAACAACAGATGCCATAAGTTCTTTTGTACAGGTTTTAAAAAGAAATGTAATACTTCATTGTTTCTGGTTATGTTGGGTTATTACTCCAAGCATCAAGATTTACTCAATCAATTGGTTGTTTTTCTACTAAAACCTCTTAAATATCACCTGAACATAAACAATCTGCGTATACAAATGCAGTTTTCTCCTCATTAAGAAGTACTGTAGGAACTGGCAGGTGACAACACAGTTATCTTGATGTAAAGTACCATGAATAGAAAAAAAAATCAGATACTTTGAGACAAAAGGTTAAGTTATTTTTTATGGCAGGTATAAAAGACAATAAATTATTGCGATAATCCACACTGGCTATGATAATGTTTGAACATTTCTTAGAAGCCGTTTAATTTGGTAATTAAGCAAAGATATTTCACAGAAAATAAATAAAAACAATTTAATCTTTACTGTTTTAAGTATATTAAATATTACTACTCTTTCTGGAAACTAATAAAAACTGTTTATTATAGATAGCAATAGCTCAGGAATACTTGTCTCAGAGTGCAGTTTCCTATTACGACAGACCAGATATCACAAAAAGGTTTAATAATAATCTTTTAAATTTATTAACACACAAAAATTCTTGTTGTGGTTATTCTGAAACTTACATTTTCAATATTTAAATCTGTCTTTCTTACATCTGCCCATCTGCCTTACCTACATCAATATAACTGCAATTGTGACTATACAACTAAAGGTAGAGACTTTACTAACATTTTCAAAATCCCCATCTATGAATTGGCTTCAACACTCTGTTCTCCTCCCCACTGATAGCTGATGTGTGGTGAGAGTTTTGGTGCACTATGGCTGCCGTCACATCATCCAGGTGGGGCTGCACACTGGTGGTGGTTGAGGGAAATGCCCATTACCTGAAAAGCGCTTTGAGTAGAGTGTCCACTTGCACAAATCTTGAGCTGCCATGCACATAAATGTAGCACAATGTCAAGGGAAGGCATGGACTTCCGACATGAGTGCTGGCAGGCATGGACTTTCGAAATGAGCAATGACTGTTAACAGTCCGCATTTAAAAATGTATTCCTGGGAGGATCTAAATGTAGAGGCAAGAATCCGGGTTAATACCATTCCAATACTGGAATACTGTTTTGAGAACTAAAAATTAAAAAAAGCAAAGGAGAAATACAAAGTACCTTACCGTTATCTTATGTTACCATAATTTCGGTATAGCTTGTTAAGTGATAAACCAGTCGTAAAGTGACAATGCTCAAATTTGGTTACACAATAACCACATCATCTCTTTGACATACATTCCTGATAGCTTTAAACAGAACTGCATTACAAATAATATCTTAGTTGTGAAGTCTGTACTTCACTGAATGTTTTTTCATTAAATTTAAATTTAAATTATGATAGCCGCGATACAGTCAACATTTCTCTCCTAGTAACTGTACCAGAAACTAAATAAAGCCCAAATAAAGATCAGTGTGCTACAGGTGGTCCCTGTTATACAGTACGTCAGGGTTTAAGTTATAATTTTAATTACGTTTACGTTATAATATGTGCTTTAGGTACTCTTTTGTGTTTAAGGCAGTGGTGGTGGATAGGTTATGCTAAGGGTTAGGGTTATGGTGTAACTCAGCAAGTGTTTGTATAGTTCCAGTCCACTGTGACAGGGCACATGCTCATCACCATAGTGGGTTTTTAAACCCAGCACTGCCCTTATCTGGAAACAGGCTACTGCAGGAATCTGACATATTCAACAAAATATCCAAATGCTTTGTCAATCACACAGCACTATAGCAGCCTGTGTATACCAATTCATGTGCTTAACAGATCAATACAGTATAATCACCTATAATAAATGAGTGCAGCCTCTATGCCCACACTAACGTAATACATCGTAGATGTTGGACAGTGTACAATCAAGGTCTTAATTCCTCAAAATACAAACATACATTATAGATCAGCTGTTTGATTTACCCTTAACACTACACAGAGACTTGATGGGCAACGCAGTATCCTTTTAGAATAGGTTTGTAATCTATGAACTCATACATCACTGCCAACATCTGCAGTGGTCATAAAGTTTTATACAGCATATTAAATTTAGCATTATCACACACATCTCACAAAGATTAAAGGACAAAGGACAGGGAACAGTTTTAAAAAAAAGGTAGAATTATCTCTTTCATATACGCGACTTACAGTCTAAAATCGAATAGAACATCACTCTGTTTGCTACTTTGTCTTCTGCAATTGTCACTGTGTTGTAAAGTGTTCTCAGCTGATCTGTGGGCTAGTCGTTTCAGAGAAAGGTTTGTCATTACAATGACGTGATGCCCTTTGCACAGCTAGCAGTACCCTTGATGCATCTTACTTTCCCTACCTTCCATAGTCACAGAAGATATCAAGTGAATGGGTATCCAGCAGAAGGCCACACCAGGGGAACAAGCACTCTAATGGCAGCTGTAGGGCCCCAGAGCAGTTCAGGATGTTATCGATGGGGAAATTAGCCACGATCTTCTGAGGGTTAATGACGCAGCCATATTCAGGGATCCCGGCTGCCAGAATTCTGAGACAAAAAGGGTGCAACAAAGTTACTAACTATATTCATAAAAACTGGAAATCAATTCACTGCTTATTCAGTTGTCTGAAAGACACCCCTTTTTCAATGTTTAACCAAAGAAGGAAAAAAAATATTCCAAGGTTCCACAACTATAACTAGACTGTTTCGGTTATTCTTTTTCAGAATGCAACAGCATCCAAATGTGATCCCCTATCACTGTTACTTTGTTGTTTCACCAGACTCTCGCTTTTACCGCTATATACCACATACTGTATGAGTGAGTTTTTGGTATATTAGCAGTTAAAATCAATAAGTAAACTTAGAGCCCTCTTAAAGGGAACTGAGATCCCAATTTCTCAGAGCAGATATTAATCAACGGCATCGCAAAATGCTAAAAATTCCAAATTGCACACAAAATCATGAACTTTGAATAAGTACTGCAGGTTGGCATGTTGTTGTAAAAGCTGGTCTCTCAATGGGCAAGATAGGGTTTGTGAGAATTGTGTTCTGAAGCAGCCCTAGTCACTGTAATGACCAATGTAATACAATGAAGGAGCGAATAAGTAGAGGTTGTGCAGCAGACATTTCACTGCAGAAATGTTCCAATGTGATCTGCATGCAGAGTTAACAAGTAGTATGTTTTGGCAAAACCATTTCAAAGTCCCGAGAAATATTTTTATTGGATTAAAACTGAACTCAAAAGCCTGCTGGCTTACAAAGTAATAGGGTCGCTTCATGTGACCAGAAGTTTCGTTGCCTCGTTCTAAATCACAGACAATGACAGCAATATGGTGGTATTGTGCATAACTGGATTTTGTTTTGTGATTTTAATTTGAGGTTTTATACATTACTGTGTACAGTTTACTTTCATTGTGGTTTTAAGTGCACTCATCAATGCCAATTCTAACCACAAAATATAAAAAATAGTGCTGCAGTGCCTGTTTAATAGAAATTTGGCTTCCGTTTAGGACAGTATGCTTTTGAAAAGGACATTTGTTTTTACAATCTGTATGGGAAATTAATAGAAAATTAAATACAGCCCTTAATGCAAAAGAAAGGGTGTTTTTGAAAAGCTTAATCTCTCGACATTGATAAGTGAAAACCAGACATGTCCAGTTTAAGAGAGCTGACACAGGTTTTACTGAAATGAGGGATTCCATTGGACACTAACTCATGTTCTGAGGACATGTTCCCAGGTTCAAAATATTTGAAGTGCAATTTGGATGGGGGTTCATAAAAGACTGGTGGTGGTGGCTGGGTGGACATCTCTTCATATCCCCTCCAACATGGCAGTTACTTTTGGTTAAAACAGCTGCCTATGAGCAAGTTTTCTTTAGAACCATTGGCAAAATTTGAACAAAGGTGGTCCAGATATTTTACCCCTTTATGTAGAACTTGATTATACAAACCACACGGGGTTATGACTTAAACAACTATAACTAAAGTGTAGAACAGGATTTATAATCTTACTGCACTAATAATTAGGTCTTCATATTTTCTGTACATTTATGTAGGATATGAAATCCTGTAATGTGTCAACGTATCATCACATTACACCAATTTAACATCATACTGCTAGGTAATTTTACTATAGGTGCCACAAAATAAAGCTCTTCAATGTCATGAAAAATCAGCTTAATTGAAATTAAAGATTGAAACACTAAACCTATTGGATTCTAAATAGCATTCTGATCAAGTGTTTAGCTTGTTATATTAAAATGTTTCTCTTGGTTAGTCCACCGTGTCCGTCATAGACACCTCCATCGTGAAGAAAAGTAATACCTGAGAAACATCTGTGCTTTGGACAAGTGGGGAGTGATGAGCAAAAAATCATCAACCAATCTCAGCAAACACCTGGAAAGAGCAAAAACAAAGCCAGCCCATAAATAGAACTGAAAAAGTCAAATAAAGAGCCATCACCTAGTTCTTCCCCCTAAGCAGATCTTTAATCCAAGAACAGGTCTACAGAGCCACCTGCTGGTCAGAGGTGATTGATGTTGTTAAGCCCTCAAAAATTGCTTCTGCCAATTGCCTTCCACTGCCATAACCAACACAATCCAAGAAAAACAATTCCCTCTTAGAGTTTTATTTGAGCAGAACCTATAAAATTTACTTCAAACAAAAGCCAGAAATGCCTTTTGGAGATAATCCAACTTGGAATGAGGAGGATCTTGGACAATGTCCATCTATACAAACACAAATGTAAAGGCTTCCCTTAACTGAGGCCTATGTTTGAAACAGGCTTGGTATTCTCTGATAATGTCTTTCATGTCTTGATAGCACAGCCACTAAATATAATTAAAGTCCTTGAATTCAGGGCTTCAGTTCTTTGAAAAGCAAGCATTGAGACATTGCAATACAGCATCAGCCATCTCAGAACCTATCATTTTAAATTATGCAAGTAGTGATGGCAAGACAGAACAAAATGGCCACTCTACCTAAAAGTGTTTTCTTCTGGCAATTTATTTCTTACTTGGAAAATAACAGCAAGTGGTAAAACCAACTTTACATACACCCCAAATCTCTACTTTTTGTAATGGTATGCAGTATGTTCCTTACAGTTTAAAGGATAAAAGAAGAAGACAACTAAAGAAACCTCTGCATTTACCACAGTACATTTCCACATCATTTCATACTACCATGGTTTCCTACAGATTACATAATGCCGTTATATTTCACCCTCAAATTTATTTCCACAGGTTTTACTACAGTTGACTTTAGATTTAACAAACTTTTCAACAGTAAACCTAATAGTAAACAGCTGCTCTTTACCCATTTTCCTTCAAGTCCCCAAGAATCCTATTCTCCATGTCTCCATAACACAGGCTGCACAGCAGAGTGGACACAATGGAGCCCTGAGGGATTCCACAGCACTGTCTGTAGGTTCTAGGAACATCAGAATAGCCAATCACTCCATTCAGTCATAAAGATGCTTTTGCGCTGTAACACATGCACAATACTATACTGTAGTCATATTAAACTTTTATGGAAAAGAGCAAAACATTATTTCACCTGAAAAAATAAAGAAACTTAAATAAGAGATCGAGAGGAATGTTTTATGTGTTGTGTAATCTAAAGGGCACCTTTGTATCATAATTAATACAAAGATAAAATGTATGAAACTTCCAAAGAACCCTGCTTTACTCTAGATGCAGTTTCTGCAATGCTAGGGCATACACGTAATTTTGGTGCTCACTGATTTTATGTTTTCCTAATGTCATGCTTAAGATTACTTTATTATTTCAAAGCAAAAATGCAGATCATTACCCTTCCTACAGTAAGTGTCATTTCCTTCTCTAGTTTGTGCTTGCCAATATATCTGCAGGTCTCTTTTGTATTTAGAGGATGCTAGATTTGACTAAATTTTAATGACAGAATTAACAAATCCAAGGCATCCTAATAAGATGGAAAAAATTAATATTAGTGGAGCGCCAAGTGGACCAATCATAAGTTCTGAATACCTATTAATTTGGGACATTTGGACACGAATCTCTGTACACAGCCATACCAGAGACACTTAAAAATGTGCAGGCAGTGGACTTCTCACATTTAATAATATAACTTTTAAAGTCTGCTGGACAAAAAAGAAAGGAGAAACCATTGTTGTAGTTGTAAGGTTATATAAGACTCTCCTTTTTAAATAATGTATTAGATTTTTTTTTGTCAGTAAATTATTTAATGCAAGACTATGCTTGACAACTGATGGCCACTCAGCCATTACTGTATTAATAAAGCCAAAGAGCTATCTTTTCAGAAATAAATCCTCTAGACATACGTACTGTATTTAGAAAGTACTTTGGCTTACTTATTCCCAATCCTGAGGACAACATTTGCAAGCATTTCCTGGAAGAATGTAAGCATCTCGTGACCAAACACATTCATTGAAAGGCCCTGCAAATAAACAAAACAATAAGCAAACACAAGTCTTATATTTTAGTTTGCATTTAATCATCTTACAATGCAATAATATACATTTAATTTGTAGGATCTCTTTCACAAGACAGAAGGTCCTGCAGATTAAACACTGGCTGTTTAGTCTTCCACAAAACCACATTTTAAAACTGAAATGTACAGTAAGAAGAATGCCAGAGACTCACCTGTTCAACCAGTATTGCATTCCGCAAATTTGATTTTTTTTGCTGCACAGCTGTGAAAGATCTCATGTTGGGCAACAAGTCTCCCAACATTGTGGCCTTAAGACAGTAAAGATGTGAAGGTAGTAATTAAATAAACATGTTCCAATACAGCAAGAATAGCAGAGTAAAAAGCTAAACAGCACTTCCTTATAGTCATACTAGAATTTTTGTACAAAATACCTTAGAACATTTCTTTATTGGTCACTATATTCAGCAGCACTAACATAATGCCACAAATTCCTTCTTACAGTATATACATGAAGTTTGCTTCACAACTGAACCTGCGCGATACAAACATAAAACAATTTTTAAAGTACAGTAACGTACAGTTAAATAACGATTAAATGACAATTACTGAAACAGCAGAATAAAAACTAAATGTTTTGTGTTATCTGTCAGCTAAACTTTAACAGAAAAAAATAATAAATAACCATTACTTAGGAAAAAAATCTGACAGGTCTCAATATGATAAAACAAAAACGCTGTAAAGTTTAAAGGATTCTTCTCACTACTTCCTTCCTGTAGTCATAAAAACAAAAGACACGTACAGTAGAATAGGATTCTGCTATCTACTATTTAAGATTTTCCTTGTAGAACTAAGAGATACTGGCATCTCAGCTCAACCACTTTTCTCCAGCAAAAATAAGAGTTACCATCTTTAAGTACTATATACTCAGGACAAAGCAGATTAGAAAACGTGTCCACTGTACATGTCTTCTGAAATTTTTTTTCAGTCCTTCATTGGAGTCAGCCCAGATCTGTGCATAGCGCCGGATGCAATACTCTTGGTCCATCACAGGCTTTAGAACACTAGACACCACTTCCAACAGTTTTTCATGTGGGAGGCTGTCAAAGGCACCAGCTATATCAACCTAATTCAGATCACAAAAAGCAGGATGGGTTAAAAGATGGGGCTTTCCAAATCCATACAGAGCCATCCCGTATAGAGTGATTATAAAACATACAGCACATTTTTTAGCTCAATTTAAAGGAAGAATGCATTTTTATTTTCATAGAGAAGGAAAGATGTCTGGGAAGTCATGCAAAATGTTTGGGTTTTTGACAATAATAATCTCTCAGTGATTTCTCCAGTATATTTAATTGCATGATCTGGATGCAAAATACACATGCAGTATGCGCGTGCACAATTTATAGAACTTATAAACAATCCTCCACATTGTAATTTTGCCAAGATGAATGCACACTTTTTAACTGCTTTATCACTGAGAGATAAAACAGTTAACAAAATGTTATGTCATTCTTGTTTATAATACGCTCCAACAGTCTACTTCAAGATATCATTGCAATAATTACTTTAGATCACTGTTGCACTTCTAATAACAAACCAAATTAAGATTCCTAAAAAAATGATTATCTTTTCCAACATTAATGAGCATTTGTGACAGGCATGAATTGTTAAAAAATAATTTTGAATTTGTACATGACCAAATAACAAAATAAGGAACTTCATTATAAACCAAATAATATTTGTTATAAAAACAGAGGAAAGCCTCGTTATCATGATGCAAAGTGTTGGTAAAAAACAGGCTATCAACTTTCAGTCTTTGTTTACTCACATCTTTTAAATCGCTTTATGCTGAAACTAATGAGAACCTACTTCTTTTTGTAAATGTGCTGAAAAACACTAAACCTACAAAACAGACAACTTCACATCATGAAGCAGTTGCACAAACAAGAAAACTAACACCTACCTTTACAAAGTATTTTGGAAGTGCAGGCAAATTCTGAGCTTTGTTTTTTACTGCAAAATCACCCCAAACTCTGTATATATCCTGTAAACCAAACACAGAGGAGCCTAGCAGGTGGGGCCTCTTCGTCACATTCACACAGAGGATGTCATAGAGGTTTCGAAGCTGGATATTGAAGGACTAGATGAAGGGGAGGAGAATTGTAAACACAACATAGAACAATTTCAGAGCTCTTACAAAACAGATCAAAACTGTTTGGCGTTCGTCTAATGGAGGTTCTTACTATTCCACTTCTAACACCAACTCCTGTCAATTTATGTTCTTTAATTAAAATTTGGAATGAGTGCCCAGTGGACGATGGGCTGACCAAAGACAGAATCGGCATCGGGCACGACATTTTCTTTGTCGTGTCTGGCCTCTTCCTTTGGATTCAGGAAGGAAGGGGCAGGGGGAACATTAAAAAGACTAAATTACTACCAAAGAATGAGCAAACAAAATGCGTGGCAGAAGGATTCCTAGCTGTGAACCAAGACGCGAAAAACATATTGTAATTGGGTGCTCCAAATCGTTAAAAAAAGTGAATCTAATTTAAGAAACAAGAGGGAAATAAAACTCTACTCAGGGACTGAAAAGCTGTAGTTACAGTAACTGTCACTTTATCGCGCTACTGTACCTTTCTTCTGTTGCTCTGGCTGCTGTATGGTTTCTGTTCCACCACTGCTCCCATTTTGACAATAGGCCGCATGCCATTTCTTTTTGGAATAAACCTCACTGTTGCAACAGTTGCCTTGGCAAATTCCTCTGATCTCAGAGACACAAATTCTCCTTGAGACAGGTGCTTGCTGTTAAAGAAGCATTTTGAAATGGTGTTTTTATTGATGTTCAGATTTACAAAAACAATGCACGTAAGCACATCGAGCACACAGTAAAGGATCACATCCGCATTAAACCCAATTATAACAAGGCTTATGTTAGATCTATAAGGAAGAAATTAGGAAACTACTGGAGTTTCCTAATACTGCAGTTAAATGAAGAATTCTGTATATGGCACATATACACTATAAACTCCAAATTAAAGGCTTACCATTTTCCTTCTGGTTGGAAGATCTACCTACTATAACATCCATCCATTTTCTAACTGCTTCATCCAATTCAAAGTCATAGGGGAGCTGAAGCCTTTTGTGGCAAGCAACGGACACAAGGAAGGCTACATCTTGGACAGGACACAAGTCCATCGCAGGGCACACAGAAACAAAGAACCACAAACACACACACACCCACACCAGGGCCAGCTTTCCTAAAAAATGAGGAAAAAACTGAAGCACTCAGAGGAAATCCACAGGAGCACAAGCAAAACACACAAACTCCACACAGATAGCACCCCAGGTCCGGAATGGAAACCAGGTCCCCAGCACTGTGAGGCAGAAATGCTAACCACTGCACCACTGTGCCACCCTACATAACATACAATTCTGTCAATTTCCGCAACTCCAAATAACTGAAAACAGTATACGGCTTTTGCATTTTCTGGATTTGAATAAATCATCATATCCATAAATCTTTCACATTAAAGAGCATCTGAAATGAAAGCAGTAAGCCAAGCAATATCTGTGATAATGGAAAAAAAAAAAACTGTACCTTATAGCCATGTCCCACAGTCTTCTCCAGATCTTCTTTTTAAAGAACATAAGCATATTTTTTTGCCAGGAGCTTTCAGTGACATAGAACGATGTCCTTACTAGCACAATAACCAAGGTGCCCAAAACCCAAGTTAAAAAACTTGCCAGGATCTTCTCACGGTATCGGTGCTCAGTCGCAGGACAGGAAGCTAAGGCAGGAAGGTTATTGTTATTCATTGATGTTAAAATTCACTCAAGTGTTTTGCTGTCAGTCATGACGGATCAATTCATCAAAATGACAACAAAAACATTTAATCGATATCCAAAATTAGAATACTTTAGTTTCCTAAGAACGTAAATAGTGATATGTTTTTTAAGGCTCAGCATACATTACAGTTGCATATTAGTCTTCCAGTAACACAAGTGCTGAACTAATCAAAATGTTAAATACCTTTAGGTTCTCACTCATAACTACAGTCATTAGCAACAGTATTACTTTTTTGTATTTGTATTGCCTAAGTCTTATATGGTAGCTCTTTTTACTATAATACTAATGGACAAATAAAACTGCCAGAGTAACATTTTAACATTTCTTTTGGAGATTTTAGCAAAGAAAATGTTGCCATGAAAACTGTAAAGTTTCTTACCAGATTTATTTAGCTTAAGCCAGTCACAGTCCTGCACTCTCATCTTCCAAAGGACTTCCTGAAGAGACAGTCTGTCAAACTTCCCCATGGAAATTAATTTTTTAACGTTTATTAAAAATCTATTGAAATTGTGTTGTGAACCCCACAGCTGAAATGGAATAATGTATTTTAAGCACTCCCTTATGAACATATAAACCTGTGTGGGTTTGGTTTCTTTTGAAAGAAGACCTTGGAAATCACTGGGCTCTTTTGAGTCCAAACTTCCAGTTGCCTTTGCCACTGTGTTTTGACCTGTGGGTTCTTCTGAGCAAGTCCTTTCTAAGAAAAGGTGAAATGGACATTTTCTATGATTTTTAAGCAACTGGCTAAATGTGCCAAGCATGCTTTTGAAACGCTTGGGGATTTTTTTCCTGCCATCAAATCCCTTTCTGCATAAAAATATGTCCTTCACAAGATCTTCTGCATTAGAGTTTATCTGCTTCACAGGATCAGCCCTGGACTGTACTTTCGGTTGTTTGCTCAGGACAGAAGACTTGAAGCTTGAATACAACATGCTTTGGGCCTTGAAAAATACAGCTGAAACAGGGGCTTTTTTTGCCTTTTGCTTTCTCTCCTCTATAGTATTGCACCCTGGCTCTTTCTTGGCCTTCTTGGTTGGAGGCCCCTCACTGTCAGTTTTGCTGATGTTTTGGCGGGGACCTGGGGCACCTCGCTTTTTCTGGTGTTTCCTCATCCTCTTCTGCGACTTCCTACGGTTTCTATAGAAATTTACTTTAGATTTTGCCAGCTGCAAGAGCACATTAAATCGGTTGTGCAGTGACCTAAGCCTCACACATTTAAATGAGGAGTAATTATCCCCAGTGATGAAGTGATCGTATACAGGGATCCCAGCAACCTGGTAAAGACAAGAAGGGGCTACTGTTGTGAAGAGAGCACACGACTCCAAGAGATGCATCATAACAGCAGTTCCAATCCTTTGGAGTAGGAGATCCCACAGCGGACCGCTGCTGATAGCAGAGGTGCAGTGGTTACTTTGTTGAGAAAAAACGGAAGCACAGTTTTCACCGACGCCCTTCAGTCCATGTGCCAGAACATTTCTTTTTTTCTTCTGCATGATCTTCTTCAGAATGATGGAGACCAGTTCTTTCAGTGTACAAAGCTGATAAAAGGATTGGAAAAATAAAATGCAGAAAAATTAAACAATTGCTATCGATTATTTTATATATAATAATATACTAATTAAAAATGGTTTCGACTCTAGCCTTCCTACACAAGTATACGCTTGTTTTCCAAAGCCTTTAAAAGCACTTCCACTGACACTGTTTTGAGCCCTCCAGAATAGTGTTTCATTGTATCAATATTGGTAAGAAAACGATATTATGATAACACATCTTAATGATTTATCGTGTGAGGTTAATTTTGTAACACAGAACTGAAATAATCTTCGTGCCATTTAAACCCAAGGACTCCGACACTTCAAATAATACATTTATTATAATGCTATGGAGAACTAACCTGCTGTACCTGATTGCTTGATTTCTTTTCTAATTCTCGAAATTAATCCACAATGAGTGCAGGACCAGTAATAACACTAGTCTTTTTTGTGTGCATTTTTAGAAATTCAAATACAGGTTTGAAACGTGATTTTCATTTTTTAAACGTACATGTAGTTTTCTCTCATCATGTATTTATTGCACAGCCTTTGCATGCTATATATATGTATAAAATACTACTAAATAAGGTAACAAATTCTTACATACCGTACATAGTTACTTAAAGCCATTAATTGAGCAGCTGCTTATTTGAAGGATACGCAAGAATTCATTCAATCAATACCTGTTCATAACTGGTGGGCTGTGCCAAAGACTTGCTGTCGGCGGAAGTGCAAACAATGATGCTTGTAATGAATTTTTTGTATTTCGCGCTGTCAGTGCTTAACACCAGAGGCTGTCTGTTGTCCTCTTTGAAACGAATGCCGGCGATGTATTCCTCCAATGTCAGCACAGATGAATACACAGATCTTAGGATACGCAACACTGGGTCAAAAAGCTTGATATTCTCCCTAGACATCGTAGCACCATGCACCAAAACACTGCAATCGACAGCTGCTCTCTACCGATCCACTTAATCCATCACCGCTTCTTCAAATCTGGTCAAGCTGCTCCTTCCGAAATCTCTAACTTCTCCGGAGGCCGCAGTTCAGAAATACCTGTCTTCTTTTTCAACCCAATCAAAACAGGATCTTTTCCCCTCGCAATTCTATAGTCACTTGTAATTGGTCAACATAGGAACAGGCCTGCAGACACCGACATTGACATCTGCCGTATAACCACTTACAAAAGCGGCGCACGTTTTGGTAGACCGATGAAATAGATTTCGTTCTGATTTTATTGTATACTCACCTGATCCCGAATATATGGAACAGCAGTTTGGGGAAATTGCTGCTACACTGTAGAATTTATGCTTAATAATGATGCACCCGAATGTGTAAATAGAAATCTTGTGCATTAAAAACAATTCAGACGAATGCATTGACATAAAAAATGCACCTTTTTATTCAGCTCTTCTGATAATTGACATTCAAAATTAATAGTCATCCCTAGAATTCAGTGATTATGGACAATAACGTCTTTTTGATTTATAAAACTGCGGTACTCATGTACAATAATCATTTATGGAAAGAGTTCACCAATAAGACATACAGTAAAAACTTGAAAAAATGCTTTGGTGCTTAAAAAGTTTATTTTTATCTGTTAATTTCACGTTTGAGTGATTTCTGTGCTGTTTTCCTGTCAATACTACAAGTATTTGAAAAAAATTCTTGCTTTAATTTTAATTTACCGCGTATACTATACATCTGAATTCACTGTGGCCGAACGATATTCCTTAGTTTAATGTCCTAACCCAGGGATTTGAGACTCAGACTGGAAGGCCTGGTGCTTTCTAGTTATGGTTCCACCTGAGGTGTTTCATAGTTGGTTTATTTACAGTATCTACAAATTGTAATACTTAGTAATACTTATAAAAGGCTTTAATGTGTTTGTGAAGTAACTGTACCTTTAACAAAATTACTACTGTAAAACCTACTGTAAAAAACCTTAAATATTCCATCTATAGCAATGAAAATAGATGTTATTTGTAATTTATCGCTCAAGTTGGAACAAAAGGACACTAGGCCCTCCAAGAACTGTGTTTCAGATTCATGTTCTAAGCTAACCTTAAATGAATTCAATCTTTTAGTGAGTCCAACCATGAACCTATTTAAGATAAATAATGAAACAGAAAACACAAGACACTAGTGGAAACGAATAGGAAGCCTTTAAAATTTCCAAATAAGACTAAAAAGAAGAGGGATGTTTTTATTCATAAGATTGTGGGAGTTGGGAACTTGTACTCAGCAATATTACTGAAGATGCAGTTCAATAGCAATTCCAAAACACTGTAAAACATGATAAATTAAAAACAACCCCCTGCCATATTTAAAGCAAATTTCATTTTTTTAATGAAAAGGACAATAGAGAAAAAATGACAAGCAAAAAATTGATATGAATCATAGATACATCTTGAAATTATTCAAGTCAGGTCCAGTGCAGCACAATCTGTTCCCAGACATGACCAGACATCAATTATCATTCACGTCATTGGATCTTTTTTAATAGTAGCCCACGTGGTGAAATAAGTACTGTTACAACATTGTGGTAATTAACTATTGGTAATGGTGAGAACTTAAAAAATGTATTATTAAGATCAATTTAAAATGAAAAATGAAAAAAGATCCTATAAAGATAAACAATTGCTACCCAAAAGAAAAAAACATTGTTCCCTTACCAGCCTTCCAAAATACAATATTCTAGAACAGAGATCTGAAACACTGTTAAATGTTAAAATGCATCTCCATCTAACTTCATGTCCAGAATGGTAAACAAACATGTTGCCTTGATTGTTTTACTAACATAAATAAGTAGCAATTGTTGTGGTTTTTTTTTTGGTCTTGAAACAGTTTTCCTGTTTTGTACACAATAAAATAATGGAAAATAAAGTATTTATTCCTGAAGCATTTCAATTGGGTAGCAATCTGACCTTTAATTTTTCCCACCCAAACAAAAATATTCTTTACGAAGGTTTTGGCACCAATTAATTTCAAATACTATGTGAAGTGAAAAGGTAAAGAATGAGTAGAATATGTTTCTTTTTTGTGCAATACCTGCTGCTGTATATTAACCTTTATGATTTTCCAGATCGAGTGAATTTAATATCCCTGAAAGGTCTATAGAAGCTTGCCTAATGCACCTCATGCTAGGGGGAGATGAGCAGGCAGGATTAACTTCATGCTTCTCTATAGGCTTTGGCTATCGATAGCATCTCTTGAGTTACAGGTAGGCCACTAGTTAGAGAAACACGTGCATTATGGGATGCAGCCCCATCCTTCCCAACAGGCACATTACTGGAAATGTCAGCAACACTGCAGTAGTTAACCTGCACTTTGATTTAGAAACACGTTCTACCATTGCATATACATGTGAGGCATCAAGGCCAGGGAGTTCAACCCAATTTTCAGAGAATGTTTAGTCTTTATGTGGCTTTCCTTTAGGTTTTTCATCATAAGAGACACCGTATTCATTGATTCGACTTTTATCCACAGGGTAAAGCCTGCAAAAAACAAAAATAAATAACATAAATAAATATATAACATAAATAAATAATGTAAAAGGTACACAACAACATATTCTGTTACTGCATTCTCCATCAGGACAGTATCTCGAGAAAACATTTATCTGTCTCCTCAACCAGGTGGTTTGTATATATTCAGGACATTTTTACATTCATTTTTGAAAAAATAATCGTAACCAATTTCTCTAAACTATAATTCAATGTGTGACTGTTAAAGGGTAATCAACACATGGTGTACTGTTTAATACCTACATTAAAACAGTTTTAATGTAACTATGAATTGTTTTTGTAAGGTCACAAAATGCTAAACCTTTACATTTCATTTTAAGAACTAAAAACTAAAATATCTTAGTGAACACTTTCTGGATAGCTTACCATCTTTGATAAAGATAGATAAGGAATACCACATCGTCTCTGAAGCAGGCAAGCCGGTGGGATGTTGGCATGGTAATAATGAAAGCAAACACATCGTCAATGAAGGTGTTGAATGCCTGGAAAAACAGAAAGGTAGGAGGTGTCCTGTAATTACCATCAGCAGAAGACTGAGCACATTCTCTTTCCCATTTTCATTGCCATTAAACTGATCCCTTCTATCAGTTTAGTGTTTGGATTTCTTTATTGAACGCCATTACAATTTTCTGGACCTGTGCTTGCCGTTCAGTAACAGTAATTGCAGTATTGTCAGTGAGAACTACGTCACTCCTTCGACTGATGCTAACTGTCCTGTAGGCACAATCTGACCTTCATCAACATGACATTTCAGAAGAAACAGCACAGTCCTCATCCCTCCCATGTTAGTATGATAGTTATAACAGTAAAATAACGCAAATAACAATTCAAAATTTCAACTTTGTGGGGAGCATTTACAAGATTTTCTTTTAAAAACTGAAAATAAACACCTTTATAACTTCTAACTTTTACTCATTTTTACCTTTTACAGATAACTTAAGTGTTCATGTGAAAATAAGATTCTTAACCAACTACCAAGATTCTTAAGAGAATATTTATCATCAAAAACAGTTTTAAAATTCTACCAGCTATAAAATTAACTCACTTTGTACATGAATGCCTTCCATGGCAAATGTGCCACCGATTTTAACTGAAAACAGAAAGAAAGTTAAACATAGACTTTAAAGTCACAAACCAAAGTTTTTATCACAATTCCTTTTAAATTGGAATTAAGCACATTTTTGGAACTTTCTCAAATTTATGTAAAAAGATGTTTAAGCAGAAGAAATAAAAATGACAAATTCCAGCAGGAGGACACCTCAAGGTATGCAAAGTGAAATTCAACTGAAAGCAAGACTAATGAAACACAAATGAAACTACTAACATCTTGCTTAAATACACTTAACGTTACACAGCGAAAACGAATGAGACACACATAAGTCTTTCTTGTTTTCAGTGTTTCGTCCCAATCTAGGTCTGTAATTTTTCAGCAAGGAAAACGTACTGTTTATAAATGGAATACTAAAGGGTTTTTGTAAATACTAACCTTATAATTTACAAAAAGTTGAGGTAGCATGAACAGGAATCCAAATGCATAAACCCCTGCCAAAATACAAAGAAAAGTAGTATAAATGTTAAATACCTTAATTAATCACAGTGACTGACTTAGGCATGATGCTGAACAGAACTTACCATTGACAAGACTGTTGATCAGCCATGAGTACCAACTGTAAAAACAAAATAAAAACCATAAGATTAAAAATATCAAAAATAAATTATGGAATTACAAAAAAATTAAGATGCATCCCCTTACCTTTTATATTTCACATAGATCAAAGAGTAAACAGCTCCTCCAATACACAAAGGATACAGCAAGTAGGATAAATATTTCATTGCCTGAAGAAAGAATGTGAAATTTGTACTTGTCGTATTCCATTCGACATTAAAAGGTGCTTTATGCTTGGTCTCTATTAAATAGGTTCTATTTTATTAAAAAAAAAATTTTCTGGCTTTTCTGAATTCTAAAGCTGTTTTAAATGTGCAGAGGAAGAGGAGATTAGTTTTGCCAACTCCCTACAGTTAAAGGAAATCTCACATTGAACTTTACAAATGAGTCTCTGCTACAGCTGCAATTTGTACAGTATACAATGATAAATCTGAATGTTGTACTAGAAACCTTGTTAAAGCATGGTAAATACTGTATATATATACATCACTGTGTTTATATAGAAGGCATACACATAACACATTTTACAAAAAAGGGAAAAGAAAACAACACAAAATTAGGCAATCTTACCTGGGTGTCATATTCCTCAGTCTTTCGCTCTGATTCATCGGATTTCCCAAACTGGTAAGAAAACAAAACGTCTTCATTGCAGAGCTGAAAAGTGTTTAAATTTCCCTCTACTTCATGAACATCAACATATACAATTCAAAGGCATGAAGAAAAATAAATGCTAAACAATACAACATTATAGATTATTTTTAGCTACATAAATATTGTTAACAAAAGACACTATAAACTCAGTTTACAAAGTGTACACAATAAACTAGAATAACACATTACTTATAACAGTAAACTATATAAACAGAACCCACCTGGAATGTTGGTTTTAAGCCTTTCCACAGGACGTGTATTTTAAATGCTTTCTTTACTTTCCAGATCTAGAAGGTAAATGTTAAACATTTACTTATGAACATAATTTATATATTTGTACATATATAGAACATCTTAAGAGCTGGATGTCACACATCGCAGGTATGCTGTATCTTAAGATCACTTTCATTTGGTTAAGTTTTGGATCCATGTTACATTGATAGTTTGTTTACTAGGTTACTTGGATCCTAGTTGCCACTAAAGCAGATACCAATGAACTACATACAGTTGTATTTTCAAACGGAATTGTATGAATTCCAACATGAAATGCATAATAAAAAAATAAAATTGATTAAAATAAAGGGGACATTTTTCCACTGTTACAATAACTACACCAGAAAGGGATAATACTGAGGCACCGTACCCCAGAGCAGAGGTGCTGATTAAGTTGTTAATTCCAAAAAGACATCACATGCTTGACTCGTCAAAACATTTCACAAATGCAGAAATGGATATGGAAATGGAGAGCATTATTTACAATTATGTCCCATAAGGTTGTTAAGTGACCTTTAAAGTCTATCCTAAGCAATGAAAAGTCATCTGAGCCCACTATCCCAATTATAGACATCCTTTAACTTTCATAATGTCTCCAAGTTCAGTTAGGATACCTCAGGTTAAAATTTATAAAAGTAAAATTGAGTTCTTGTATGAAGTGAGGGCAGTCAGAAAAATGACATCAATCAATTGATTATAGCTTCAGGAGTCTAAATGGAAAATGGTCCAAATAGTTGATGTACAACTGACCATTAGAAATAACATCAAAAAGGTTAAGAATACTTATATTCATTTATGTTAAAAACCATTTCAACATACCTCTATAATAGAGCCAATCCCAGCCGGTATAAGAACTAACAAACTCGTTTGCTCATCCAACAAGTACAGGAAGATGACAATAGTGCTGAAACACCTCCATAACACTTGACATAAAAAACAGAAAAAATGACTACAGGAACACCATGTAAACATCTGCATTTACTAACTTTGAAGGGAAGTGGACAATTTCAAATATAAATATATTTAAAAATTAATTCATGTGCTCCAAAATTGTCTACACATTTCAGAAAGTATAAAATAATTCGAAGTTTACAAACTGAACAGTTTCCAGTTAATTCTGCATGCTAATATTATAGGTTTGATGGTTAAAAAAGTATTGAACATTAGTTTATGTTTCATTAACACAACCTGGGATTTAAGAAAAGAAATGAGATATACATGTAATCTACAAGGAGAGAATAGGAACATGAAAATTTACAAATGAGAGTTAGTCTTTCAAAGCATATAAATCATTTGGTTGCCATCTACAAATTGATCTGAGGATCTCTTCCAGGCATTCCCTGTTAGGGCATTCCCTGTTGTTTTTACTTGAGTCTTCTGGTGTGTTCAAAAAACGTCCATAGGACCGACATCTTCGGTGCCTTTGAGAATTATCAAGTATATTTTCTTATAGACTTCTCTGATTATTGAGCACAGTAAAGAATCTAGCTGCTTTTCTCTAGACTGATTCCAAAGCCCCAGGAAAAAAAAT